TGTTCACGCGAGGATGTGAACATGCCGACGCAGCAGGGCAGTGACCGCGATGAACCAGAATCAACCTCAATCGTAGTTATGTGTCGCAACAGTGTTGATCTACGCGGTTTCACACAAATGCATACGTATAAGTAATACACCTATACATGTAAATATATTAATATAAATAGCATGTAAATCTTTAATAAATTCTCTTTCTACGCTTCGAGCAACGCTGTTTCATTCGACGAGACCATCGACTCCTCTCACTGTTACTGCGCCTATAAATAGTTACCGATAGCTCTGGCATCACTCAGCCTTTGTTATTGGTCGGTCCGTGAGGCTGCGGATCGGCAGTGAGAAAATCCCTACCGATACACCCTTCATCCTTCCCACCGTCCGTCTGTTGCCTTAGGTCTCATGGTAACAGGCATCCCGCACTATATATATATAAGTATATATTGTACCTATATGGTTAGGGCTAGGTTGTTAGGTGAAATAGGATTGTTGGTAGGCTGTTAGGTGCAAATAGGATTGTTGGTAGGTTGTTAGGTGCAGGTAAGATTGTTGATAGGCTACAGTCAACCCCCTTCACTGTACATTTAGATCCCTGAATGTACATTTGGTCCTTCGAGCATTTTGAATCCGCGGCCCTATCTGTCCCCCCTAGGACCATGACATAGACAGACAGACAGACACGTTTCAGAAGATACAGGCTGGTGTACTAAAACCGCATCAGTTTGTGGCACTCTGAGACAGATAGATACTGTACGTTGCTATATCCTGTAGACATCTCTCGTCGGTAGCGATTCGGTGACTGGCCTTCCACAAGCGGATCTCACCAGTTCATTGAGAAGGCGCATAAATACCGAGCCGAGAGTGTGGGAGAGGCAAGTACAAATAGGATAACTGGGTTAGGAAAAGGGTAGGGACTAGGGACGCTCAAGAAAGAAGATTGATAAAGAAGAAATCGGGAGACAATGGACATTATTAGAATCAACGAACTCATCAAAAGCCAGGAAAACGACTATATTGAATTAAAAAGAACATGGGATAACATTAAAAAGGACTCATCATCAAGGAAAAATCAAAAATACATAACAGAAAGAAGAGCAAAATTGAACAGCGTGTATGAAAGAGCATCGCAGAACCATAGACTTCTACAAGACCAAGAAATTCTATCGACTCACAAATATTTGACACTTAATTATTTCGACACTCATATACAAACCATGTATGATGCAGTTATAGATCACTTGAAAGAATGTGAAGACAAGCTACATCAGACTAAAAAAGTCAGCGACATTAAAATAAACGATGATAAACAAGAAGACATGACTATTTCGCCAAAGTTATTCGTTCAAAAGTACAGACTAAACCAACTTAAGAAGAAAATTGAGACTGCAAAGACCGCCGTTGTCCAACAAAAACCAGCGTGGCAACTACAAGCTCTGATTAATAATCTAGAAAAACTGTTTCAAGATATAGAAGAAACACACATACAATTACTAATGGAGCAAAGTACAATCGACGACGAATACTTCAATAATGACTGCTTTACAGACGCACAAGAACAATTCGAGGAAATAATACAAGACTTACATGAGCAAATCAACGACAAAACAGTACAAACGAGCAGAAATCACCCTACTAAGTTACCAAGAATTAACATTCCTACGTTCGCTGGGAATTACGAGTCATGGAATTCATTCTATGATCTATTTAAGAAAATTATTGACGAAAACTGTACTATTTCCACAACAGAAAAAATGCAATACTTAAAAACGCATGTCCGAGGTGACGCGGAGAAGCTAATAAAGCATTTGACAGTAAACGAGGTCAACTATAAAGCAGCGCTTACACTGTTAGAAAACCGATACAAAGACGAAAGAAAAATAACACAGACATTCATTGATAAATTAATAGACCTGCCCAAAATTCAGACTCCAAACGCCAAAATGCTACGTAATATGCATGACTGCATAAACGAAAGCCTGGAAGCGTTAAAAACTCAAAATATTAATATATCAACATGGAGCCCAATTTTAACCAGAATGGTAAATCGTAAGTGGGACCCTGACACCAACATGAGATATGAAGACCAATTACAGGAGCCAAACAAGTTACAAGATTTCAAAGAATTAATGAAGTTCTTAGAAAAACGCTTCAAAAGTTTAGAATCAAGCGCCAATATGACAACAACAAACGATTTGCATTCGACATACTCACCAAATATGCAAGGAAAAACTAATTGGCAAGAAAAAAAAGGACTCTGTTGGTACTGTCAAAAAGACCATAATATTCATTATTGTCAAGCATTTAAGGCATTACATGTCAATGACCGCATTCGTAAAGTGCAAGAAAAACAAATGTGTTATGTATGTCTCATGCACGATGCAAAAAAAGAGTGCATCAGCAATAAGTACAAACATTGTGAAATATGCAATAAGGCACATTCTACACTATTGCACAGAAACACAAATGAATATTTATTAGCAAAACAACAAGGGCAAAATAGTATCACCAAAAATACTAACCAAGTAACAAAACCCGGTACATCAACGACATACGATCACAAGTCTCAAATAACAGAAAAGAAAAAAATTATGACTCATGCAACTATGCAACTCCATAACAGTCACAAAACTATACTTCTAGCCACAGCCTTAGTACAGTCAAAAACATTCGACGGCACACCATTATTACTGCGAGTTTTATGTGACCAAGGATCGGAAGCCTCACTATGCACGGAAGAGGTGGCTCAACTCTTAGGGTTCCCGAAACAAAAGATAAAAGCCGAAATTAATGGTATTGCAGACAACATTCCAAAGACCTCCAACTATATGATAGACGTCACACTTCAACCAAGGTTTCCAAGTGAATACAAGTTATCAACATCGCTGATCGTATTACCGAAACTGACGTCATCAGTGCCTAAAGAAAACGTGCAAAAACTGGACCCACAAAAAATAGAAAACAAAATAATTGCTGATCCAACTTATTATAAACAAGGTCCAATTGACATAATTTTAGGCGCTGAAGAATATAGTAAAATACTGTTGCAAGGGTTCGAAAAAATAGACAGCGGCATTATCAGTCAAAATACAGAGTTTGGCTGGATATTGTCGGGATTTTGTTCAACGGAACCACGCAATACAATAAAAATATTAAGTCTAATCACTCGTGCCGACGAAATCCAACTTAATAAATTCTGGGAACTAGAAGACATCACTGAAAATCATCAATTAAACAAAGAAGACCAACAGTGTGAACAATTCTATAAAGACACGACTCAAAGAAATAAAAATGGGACATACACGGTCAGGCTCCCGTTCAAGGACCCTTCCTTAGAGTACGGGAATACGCGTCAAAAAGCTGCCGCCCGACTTATTCAACTAGAAAAGAGACTTGAGAAAAACAAAAAATTACGAGAAAAATATAATGACTTCATGAAAGAATACATAAACATGAACCATATGATAAAAGTAAACAAAACAAATAATTATGAAGGGAAATATTACATTCCGCATCAACCTGTAATACGAGAAGATGCACTGACTACAAAATTACGCTGTGTATTCGACGCTAGCAGCAAGTCGAATACAAAAATAAGCCTTAATGACAACTTGCATAAAGGTCCACGATTGCAACAAGACTTAGCTACTATATTATTACGATGGCGCAAACATAAAGTTGTGTTTATGGCAGACATAGAAAAAATGTACCGGTTCATAAAAATACATAGGGAAGATCAACCCTTTCAAAGAATATTATGGAGATGGACAATTAATCAACCAATAGAAGAGTACGAGTTAACTACGGTGACTTATGGTACCACTGCTGCACCATACTTAGCCATAAGAACACTTCAACAACTAGCAACAGATGAACAAAAAACCTACCCCCTTGCCAGTAAAATCACCCTAGAAGATTTCTATGTCGACGATGTATTGTCGGGAGATGAAAGCATAGAAAAAGCAAAATATCTACAAAATCAATTAACAAATATGTTACGTGCTGGCGGATTCAATTTAAGGAAATGGTCATCAAATAGCGCAGAATTGCTAGAAAACATCCCTGTAGAAAATGTGGACGACAAAACGATAAAACTACCCTTAGACGAAAATAGAAAGTCACTAGGAGTAATTTGGGCACCAAACGAAGATAGTTTCCAATTTAAAATAACTATAACAACTACCGAGAACCCAACCAAAAAAAATATCTTTTCTGAAATCGCAAAACTATTTGACCCACATGGCTGGCTACAACCTGTACTAATAACTATGAAACTGCTTATACAAGAGATCTGGATCAGCGGCATAGACTGGAATGAACAAGTACCAGAACGCATAAATAAGAAGTGGACCCACATTCAACAACAATTACATCATATAGAAAAAATAAGAATACCTAGATGGCTACAATATACGACAGGTGTACCTATTGAATTACATGGATTCAGTGACGCATCGGAGAAGGCCTACGGCGCGGTAGTGTACTGCCGAACAAAGGTCAACAACACAACATATCGTGTGTCATTATTGCAAGCCAAATCTAAAGTAGCTCCAAAGAAACATAAAACGACCTTGCCTCGACTCGAATTATGTGCTGCAGCATTATAATCCTGCTGACGTCATATCAAGAGGCATAGAGCCCAGTAAATTGCAATACTGTGACTTATGGTGGAACGGTCCGCAATGGCTTCACACAAACAAACTGATACCGACAAAAATAATACCAGAGCCGATTGAAGAAGTTAAACGGTGCCTTCAGACAACCATAAAAACTAAAAACATAAATGATGTCATGGAACGATTTTCCAGCTTCACTAAAATGGTGAGAATTATATCATACTGTTTGAGATTCATAAGAAGACGAAAAAATACAGCGCCACTGACTTGCACAGAAATAGAGTGCACAACTAAACAAATTTTAAAACAAGTACAAAAAGACGCCTTTCAACAAGAATACCAGATGTTACAAAAAAGACAACTACTGAAAAAAGGAAACAAAATGTCCAGTTTGGATCCGTTTATAGATGACGATGGACTTATCAGAGTAGGAGGCAGACTCCAGCACTCCCAACTGCCCTACGATCAGAAGCACCCGGTATTGTTGCCCTACAACGATCACGTGACAACAATAATAATACATGACGCACACTTAAGAACTCTACACGGCGGAAATCGACTCACACTATCATATTTAAGGCAAAAATACTGGATCATTGGCGGAAAACGAAAAATAAAAAGTTACATAAACAAATGCGTTAAATGCATCAGGAACAAAGCAGAAACGGCGAAACAAAAAATGGGAGCACTACCAAGACCACGTGTGACACAATCATATCCATTTAGCCACACAGGATGTGATTTTGCAGGACCTATACAAGTACGATCAATGAAAGGTAGGGGTCACAAGTCATATAAAGGCTACATAGCAGTTTTCATATGCCTTGCAACAAAAGCCATCCACTTAGAACTGGTAGGAGACTTATCAACAGAGTCGTTTATTGCAGCACTTAGACGATTAATGGCCAGAAGAGGTCATGTGCATCACATGTACAGCGACAATGCAACGAACTTCGTGGGAGCAGCCAAATTCCTATACAAAGAAATTCTAGAAATCACTCAATCACCGCAGTTTCAAAATACATTAACTAACATAGGCACACAATGGCACTTCATAAAAACACTTGGATATACCTCACGAAGAAAACAGAGACAGTGTCCATTGTATGCGACGGAGAGAGAGAAGAAAGTTTCATCCATGACATTGGAGTAATACAAATTTCAGAAAATTGTATTATTAAAACCACGGCAACTACATTAGTAGCTAAACGAGTACACACAGTCAATGTCTTAGCGTCCTATAGCAGACCCCTTCTATTTCATCTCGATAATAATTATTCTGTAATTAGATCACATACTGATATTTCAAAAGAACAAGTAGTTTTAGATAGTTCTAAAGATATATTTAAGCATGTAGTAGACGAAGAAATGAACGAACAAACAATCTTAGATAACACTATTTGGACCACTATCAATACACAAACTTATATTATTAGTTTTACAACTTTATTAGTAATTTTATGTATTTGTTTATTAATTTATTGTTTTGCTCCACAAATTGTGGCCAGAATACGTGCTATGGCGGCGTCAAGACGGACAACGGTAGCACCAGCCAGCAGTTCCCACGACGAACTACCCGCAGCGCCACCACGACCGCAGCAGCACACTTACGCGCGGCCGGCTCCTCGGGG